TTAGAAGAAAATGTAACGTACATTGTATAAATGAATGGAAACAAAATAGAACAAAACAATGGAATAACCACATAAGCAGAATGGGGGAGACCCGTGTCGTCAAAATAGCAAGAGATAAGTAATCAATCGGCGGAAGAAGTATCGGACGACCGCGCAAAAGATGGAGTGACAACATTCCATAGAGGAATTAATCTGCCAATAAACAAGCAGAATTGCTTATGAAGAAGGTTGAAAATACTGTCATAAAAAACATGGAAGATAGAAGTGGAACAATTTTGGTGTACCCTATATTATTAAAAAGGATGGAAAAATATAAAAAATAATCTATATAATAGTTCTAAAATTGTCATGCCACATCCCTTTGACTTTGCAGTAATGTAACAATCTGAACAGACTTGATATTTTTCCATCATTACTGAGAAATACACTTTGCCGTAAGGATGAGAAGGCCAGTGAAATACTGTCCTCTCTCAAAAGATATCTCTTAAACTCTTTAGAACACTACAAAAGTCTGTACAGTTCTCAAAACAATCATTTTCGTGAAGTTTCGTCGATTCGTAAATAATGAGTTTTGAGAGTTTTATGGTTTAATAAATTGTTTATTCTTTTTACAGATTCGGTGTAGCTCAATAGTGCACGTGATAATCAATTTAGTTTAATTAAAATAAAACAAATTTAAAAAAATACCAAAGAAATAAATAAAACACTTCCTAAATTTTGTAGGTGTCCCCTTTTCTTTGACGGCTAGTATATATAATTTATATACATACTTATATATAATTTAATTTTAAAATAATTATAGGTATACCTAATGCTTTTTTCTTAACTATCAGGCACCTATTGTGAAGATTGTGTGTAATATTTGTTGTCAAAGAATTTTCCTCTAATCTGCGTTTTAAAATGTATCTATCTATTTGTCCAACACTATCTTTTGAAGTTCTTTTGTAAATCCTGGTTTGTTTTGTATCATGGTAATCTTGTATTCTTATCCCAACACAAACCAAATTTGAACCATAAAAATATTTTCCAATCGAGAATTAAAAACAGCGTTTTATAAAAAATCATTTATCTTTATTAAAAAAACGAAATAATAGTACAAACAAAACGTTAAACGTTATTTACAAACAATACTAATTATTCAAAACTGTACCGTGTACATTCTAATTAAAGTTTAACTAAAGCTGTTTACACACGAGTTTTACAAAAAGTTTTTCTACGACGTACTAATCTCAGGTAATCATAATTTTTAATTTGTACAAAATTGAGTTTTACTGTATTTATTATTGTATATAATAATAGTCTGAGTCTTATTTTAAAGCATATTTAAATTATGAAATGGCATAAAAACGGAATTTTATCCTAGTATGTTCACAACTTAAGTAATATAATACAATAATTTAACAAATTGGTTCAGAAAAGCTTCATTCGATTGACATTTAAAAATATCGGATAAAAATATACATTTCACGATTCTGATACTATTATAGAAGTGATTCTAAAGAAACAAGAAAGCTGGGACCGAACAATAAGCCCGATATGGACTCAGAATCAGCAGACCAAAGAAAATTCATTAAAAGATCAGATAAACATTAAAGTTATTATATCATCAAGATAAAGTTTAAGAATTAGATTATAAGAAGACAAAAACGGGGAAAATTTTGTTTTTAACATATTTTTTCTACGTTCTTACAAAAATCAAAAAAATTCAACAATTTGTAGTGGAAAACTATGTCATTATTGCACTGATGTAATAACAATTTTATTGCACTTATTTGTAGTACTATTTAAATTAAAACATTTAAATAGGCGTTATATTCATTACATGCTACACTATAAAAGAAATTTTATTAAATATACCGTTAATAACTATGATTGTAAGCTGTGAACAGGAACAAAAATGGCTCCAAAACATATAGGCTGATCACTTCTACGATTTGATAATGCAACTGCAGTTCTAGAAAGTTCATTGTGGCGGACGAGATCAAGAATGCAGTACACAACCAGAAACAAGCATATGAAACTTGGATGCAAACAAGTGATCCAGATGATAGACGAATATATGCAAGATTGAACAGACAAGTAAGAAAACTAGAAACTAAAGCAAAAAATACCTCCTGGGAAAGTAAATGCACAGAGCTCAATAAATATGTAGGGTCAAAAAGATCAGGAAAAGCATAGAAACCTTAGAAGCAGAGAAGAGAATAGAATCTGTTTAACAGAAGAAAGATCTGGGATGAAACATTACTCACAATTGCTAGGGTGTTGGTTTCTACTAGTTGCAAGGGGCGACCAATTGAATGGAATGAAAGATGGTAAGCCGTGGTTCAAGGTGTCGAACAAAGGAATCGAACTGGAGTAACGTGGCCATCGTTTGAGATGTCGGTAGTCGGTATGAAGGATTAATTGAAGCGAGACAAGTCCACAACGAGTTGCGTTCCTAGTATCCGCCACGAGCTCATGTGTGACTATTCTACTTTTATTCCACATAACCTCTGTAGAAGGATTTTGCAAGTTCAATGCGCGATCAGCCCCAGACTGAACGTCCGCTTGTAGGACGTGTCTGCAGTGGAGAAGAGTGGTAGAGAAGTAGGCTCCTGTCAAACGTGCTTGGTGATCAGATATTTCACCTGCGTACACTTGTTCGCCCTCACATGAATCACGGGCAGATGTACGTATAGCAATACATGTACTGGGGGAGTGTGGAGTCGCACGGTATTGATACCGTGCCACCCTCATCTGGAAACGAACTCGCAGGTACATCGGTTCTGTCAGAATAGGATAGACTTACCTTCAGATGCTGGCCATACTCTTTATGTGCCCTGCTCTACCCAAACTAGTCTTATCAGGTCATTATTGCTCGAGATCTCTGGACTTTACATCCCGGCGAATCTACGTTATCCATTTGTGTTAACATGGATTCCTTGATGCGTCTGACGGGTGTGCGCCTAAGACTACGTAGAAGAGACCCAGTACTCCTGGGAGTAAAATCTCCTTCCAATGCTCTCCATCCAGCTATCCTGTTTAGGCGAGTTGGGTGTAACGGGGAAGAGCGAAAAATGGCGAATTTTCCAGCAATTAAAAGTACTCGAGTTGATCTCATCCGTCTCATAAAATCGGGAATTTAAACTTCGTGCTTTCGTGTTTCGTGCTAAGCAGCCCCAGAATACCACAAAGATAATGCAATAACACTACAGGAATTCAATGTAGTAAGAACGCTAAAAAACGAAAAGCATGTGGACCACAAAGTATACGAAACGAATTACTAGAACACAGCCCATGAGTATTACCGGAGTTGACTTGACTTGCCACCGGAGTATACAAAAGCACATATATCAAACTGAAGAGAGCTAAGTGTCTTAAATTTACTTTTAAAACTCTATGGAAAAACGAATAAAAAATAAAGCTTAAGATAAGACAGATTTAAAAGAACAACGTGGCTTTCGTGCAGGTAGATTATACATAAAGAGCATACACCGACGCAATTGAGGCCAAAAGATTAAACTAGTATGGAGACCTGCAAAGACTGCATGAAAATAGATGGCCAATAACAGACAAACAGTTTGAATGCTTATAGAAAATTTCTGTTACATTTTTCAACATAATCAAAGGATATTAAGTCTTAACACTTTACTTTGAGTAATCAGATAGTGACAGTCATAGTTAGCGTTTGCCTTTTCTCAACAGAAAATGTTGATATTAAAAATGGCGTACACAAAATAGAACTCTGTAGTATTTCGGAGCAAAAATATCAAACATAGTGAACATTCATAAATTTTTAAATGAACTTTGGGATTTCCAGGATTTGATAAAAGGGACGTTGATCATTTTTTTACCTTTTGTAAAACATTTTAAAACCAAAGAGTTCCAAAAGTTTAAGAAAGAGTTTCAAAAATGAAGTATCGAAGAAGTCACTATTCACTTGGAAACGTTTATGTTGAAAATTCACAAGGTATACAATTACTTTTAACACGAATGACACTAATAAAGATTGAGGTAAATCTGACAGTGGACATTGTGAACATAATAATTCATTTTTGAATGCTAATCGATACTGATTATTGGTAATTATTAAATACTTTGTGATTATTAAATACCGTGTTTTATTTTCCTTTAGTTAGTGTCACTTAAAGAAAATCTTCTTTGGTTTTTGGATGAACGTAGAACATATTGTACGCAACTCTTGCAAAAAGTCTTCGTCGACACGTTACCCAACTCGGTCTAATGGTTCATGGACAATTTCATGCCGAAATACTGACTTTTTGCACTTGTTACATATATAAATATTTATGTCAAGAAACACGAATTAAGCTTAAAAACATACTCATACCACGCAAAAACATGTACCAGTCCTAAATTAAGAATGAAGATATAATTTTTCAAAAAGAAAAATATAAATTTCTTTTAAAAAATAAATGTTCTGATTGATGAAGTATTCAGAGACAGATTCAATTTTATTCGAAAAATTGCTTAAGGAATACATTGTTCAGCGAAGTATTTTTAAATTAAAGGTAAAACTGCCCAAATTAAAGACAAAGCTCAATAAATTCTAAAAAGAAACACAAAACTGAAGAATCGATTAATTAAACTCAATAAACTAAATGCCAGATAAAAAGCATCTTTTGAAATAAAAATGAAGCTGTTGTAATTGAAAGATTATGGAAATACAAAATTTAATAATAAAACATTAACAAATATGAGCAAAAACAAATGATTCGTAAGCTATAAATAACAGAAAAGACTCATAACTGCTGAGCATAAGCTATAACCTATTCTAAATAAAACAATTTCTACAATATATGTACAAATAAGTTATTTTTTATATTATACAAGAAGAAAATCTCAAGTACATTGTGTATTCTAAACAAGTGCTCGTCACTCCATCAGAAAATCTTCATGTTTCGATAGGATAAGTGGTTAATTGCTTTGACACCCGTACAAGAAGTATACTATGTGTGTTAGGTGAATATTCTACTATAATTTGTAATTAAAAATAGTAATATTCACCTTAGGCCTGCAGGACGTGTTGCTCCTCCGTAGAAATTTCCCCGTGCAGCCACTAATTCTGCTCCACCACCACTTGGGCGGCGGCTGCCGCTGCTTTTTGCGCCTGCGCCTGCTTTTCTTGTTCGTTGAGCTCTTTGATGGCTTGGATTTCCTTCTTTAACTTCATTCGCCTGTTTTGGAACCAGATTTTGATCTGTCGTTCCGTCAGGCAGAGCGCGTGCGCCATTTCGATTCGTCTCCGCCGGGTCAGGTAGTGGTTCGTGTGGAATTCCTTCTCGAGCTCGAGCGTTTGGTATCGCGTATACGTCTGGCGGCCTCTTCGCCGAAGGCCATTTGCACCTGTAATCAAAAAGAAAAGGATTAATCAGATATGCTTGACTTAATACAAATTGTCAATACAAAAACAAAAATAAAAACAAAATCTATTTCTATAGAACGTAATTCTATTATATAATTACTACAAAGAACTTCTTAGTGAATTAACAACCAAAATGATAACAAATAAACTGAATGAAATTATAACACTAGCAGAATAACAACAAGGTTTTAGGTCGGGAAGATCATGCACCGACGCTATATTTATAATGAGCAAGTGCAAGAGAAATCATTAGAATACAACAAAATGGCATATCTATGTTTCGTGGACCTTACAAAGACATTTGACCTGAATACCATACCTGAATGTACTACGAAAAAGAAGAGTGGGGTCATGAACATATAATACAAATAGACTGAATGCTGCAATACGTCACCTATATGACCAATGAGAAGGTCACATGGTCGATAAACCTGGTCCATTAAAAAGAGATGCAAGGACGGCTTTGTTTCAGTTTTCTCCGTCGCACTGGGGGTACAGAGTGGTATTACAACAATGAGTCTATCTTTTTAATATGTCTATAAGTGGGACACCAAAAATAGCATACAGGGGCACTAAATACCATGCCTGAATTTGCTAAGGAAGAGGAGAGTGGAGAGACCGCGTAAATACATGAAGAAGAGAAATAAAAGGAATAGCAGAGGAAAGGAAAACATTGAAGAAACGAGTTGACAAATTGGCAGAAGTAGCAGACTTGCCAGTATTATACTGACTACTGTTTTATAGACATGACAAATTATCGACGGTTAAATTTCGAATCCACAAAAGTCAAAAATTGGCCAATTTTTTATTTATGAGGATTTGGGTTGAAAATATTGTTCCAAATGTTCTAAAGAATGTGATGGAAATTATGGCATGGCATGTTTTTTCAAAGTAATAATTAAATAAATCCTAAAAAATATATACTAAGCATCGCTCGCAAGTTCTTTCGCTCTCCTAAAAAGTTCTTCTTCTTTTTATATAGACATGACTCTGTCTGTTTTTAAATGTAAGTAAGTTGTCGTTCCATCATTTTCGTGGTCTTCCTATTGGGGAACCATCTCTTGCGTCTTTACTACTATATTTGTTGTCATTAGGCTTATATGCTCGTTCCATTCTACTCTTCTATTTCTTACCCAGTTCTCGATGTTCTCCACCTTGCATCTCAGTTCTTGATGTTATCCACCTTGTATCTACGTCGTATATCTGTACTTCTAGCTCTGTCCCATAATGTCTTACCATCAATTTTTCTAACAATTTTTTTTTTGCCAAACACTGCCTGCAGTGATTGTAGGGTAGATTGCGTAGCTCTGCCGTTTCCATAGCCGGTCCCAATCCCGGATAAAATGTGGAGTGTGATTGGCAAGGTTAGCCATCTACCAATCGTAAAAAAAACAAAAACTGCTCAAAAAAAACAATGTACAGCCTCCTAAACAGTTAGACATTTTAATTTATAAAGTTTCGATATTTAACCATCACTATGCTTCAGGAGAAACAACAGAAAGAACTAGAAAATAACCTAACCTAACACACGCAAATCTCAATTAAATAGGGCAGACTAGCCAGTGTAAATTGGCAGAACGTTGTTAAGAAGTCCAAATTTCACAGGGTCAAAGGATTGTGGCGCCATCAGAAGAAGAAGAAAAACAAGGTTAAAGCAAAATATGTATTCTTATATTTCTTTTTTTGAAGAACGTATTGAAAACTTGTCAAATTATTAACAAATATGCGAGAAACTCGTTAAAACGTAAATTGTTGAGTAATTTTACCTAATTTAAAGTACCAGTCAGAGTGGATATTTGTAAAAAGGATGTGCCGCTGGAGAGCAGCACTCGATTTGTAATATTTTGGGCTCTGATACGTTTTTTAACATAATAAGATATTTGCAAATTAGACTATTTATATTGCTTATAAATTTTCAAACAAGCATGGAAAATAGATCCAATAAAGGACATTGTAAAAATCTAATAATTTCAAAAAAGATTGCCTAAAAAAGTTCATTTTTGTTCTCTAGCGGCTGGCTCTTTTTGTGGATAGAAAATCAGCTCCTAATTGTTCTTAAAACTACACAATATTTCATGCAAAAGAAAAACGTTTCAGTGAAGCCTCTAGGAAAGTTATTGTTAACATTATAAAACAAAGCTATCAAATAAGGCAGTGGTAAGTCCACAGAAAGAAAACTAGGATAAATAAAAATAATTTTAGAATAGACACCTACAGATATAAAATATAGGTGCTATCTGAATACTGTATGAAATTGAATAAGAGTAGATTAGAATAGAAAAACTAGTAAATTAGTAGAAGAGGTTTACATGCTGCTATGGAGATAAGACGTGATTATTGCGATAAGGATAAAAAATAGTAAATTATTTATTGGATCTTAAAATATTGTCGTCATATACAATTCTCTATTGATATAATTGAGACTTTCTTTAAAAAACAGCTGGCAAGACCTAATTCTGTGCCAAATAAAGATAATTATACCTCAACTAATATTTCTTCAGCAGATATCGGTCTAGAGATAACTTCAAAACGATTTCAACGAAATAACTACGAAGTAAGAATAAAAAGACGTACAATACCTCGATCGATTTTTGCCGATGCAAGATAAACTAAACTTCAATATCATAAGATTCACGGTCTTTTTTGTTTCGCTATTTTTCTCTTCCGACTAAAGCGCAGGCAAGCAGGCAGCTTCAGTTCGTGCTTTAAGACCACACAGTGCGATAACAATTAACAGGAATTCTATATCGATTTGTTGCAAAACGGTAAATAAAGAAAAAGAAGAATCGTTTAAAAGCGATTTCATCTGCCTAATTATTATTTTCGTACGTGTTACGATACACCCACTTAATCTTTGACATGTTGTTATAAGGGTATAATTTAAATGTGCAAAATGCAATGCGAACATTAAAAGTGAAATTACAGGAGCGGACTATGCCGCTATAAATTTTAGTTACTAGGGGACCCATACTACGACAAAAAATATCATCACACTCCAAAGGAAAATAATATTAAGAAAATATACATACGTAACAGTTTATGCCTCATACATACGATTTGCCAGAATCGGCATTTAAATTTTATTTAATATTAGCGAGGATATGCGAGGTTGTTTACAAAATCATAGGCGAGAATAGCGTGTGTTGCCTTTTTTTCTGTTGCAATAATTCCTAAAAAGAGATCTACTCTACTCTCTTTAAAATTAAACAATTTTTTACTTCTTATTTACTTACTTCTAATATAAAGATGATTTTTAACTACTTATTCCAATATTAATAGAAGATTTAATATATTCAGGAAGGAACAGTAAATAAATCGTCTAATAGTAACATAGTAAGTCTAAAAAATCTGCATTATGCATTATATATTTATGTAATATTCACAAATAGTTATTGCCCCCAAACAGCTGTCGTAGGTATTTTACATATTCCGCTTGACGAAGAGAGACTTCACCAGCTATTTATCAATTGTATTAAAATTATTGGTCTACGCGTGCTGTATTTGTGTTTTCAGCTCCTAAATCCAAAGTAATTCACTTTACCAAAAAGCATAGACCTAATCCACCTTCTATAACTCTGAACGGACTTCGTTTACAAACAGTTAATTATTTGACACTTCTTGGTATCACCTTTGATAAAAAGCTTATCTGAAGACAGCATATTCAGAAACTTAAAGGAAACTGTACCCAAAGAATCAATTTACTTAAATCTCTTGCTAGCTTCTCTTGGGGAGCTGACGAAGAATCTCTTCTTAAAATATATAGAGCGTTAATTCGCTCTAAGCTAGATTATGGCAGTATTCTTTATATGACATCTAGTAGCTCCCTACTAAAGTCTCTAAACACGATTCAAAATACATCCCTACGACTATGCCTCGGTGTTTTCAAATCAAGCCCCGCTGAAAGTCTGTGCGTTGAATCTTCAGAGCCACCACTCCATCTAAGAAGGCAGCAGCTTCTACTTTCATACTTTGTAAGAATATCAGCAAACCCAAGTAACCCGGTAATAAATCTAATCAATCCCATAGAACCTCCCCCAGTAAACGCTTCCAATCAGTCTCTCACATTACCACAAATATTATCTCCTTTATTAGATTCCATCAACCTCTCCAATACTACTTCTATTTATACCCCCAAGACAGCTCCATGGATGCACACTCTTCCAATATTCAATACAGATTTATGCAGATTCGACAAAACAGAAACCCCAAACTTAATCCTTAGAAAATCCTTCCAAAACATCCTTAACTTAACACAATTTGATGAAATTTTATACACCGATGCGTCCAAGAATAAAGACTGTTGTGGCTCCGCTGTGTCCACACTGACGACGACAATAAGCTCTGTGCGATTGCCTAAAAGTTGTAGTATCTATACCGCAGAATTATATGGAATACTCCAAGCATTAAAGACTTCAATCCGTCCTACTTCAAATGAAAGCATAAAAATCGCCATTTGCACTGATTCTCTTTCCTCGATTTATTCAATAAGATGCATTTTCTCGAAAAACCCACTAGTCCAGGAAATCCACACTATCTGTAACCAACTATATTCTGCTAACATAAAAGTCATAATGATCTGGACTCCATCTCATGTTGGTATATTGGGAAACGAAAAAGCAGACCAAGCCGCTAAAGCAGCATGTTCTTCTGACATAGCCTTCCAAGAGGTCCAAATCCATACGGATCTTAAAATACTGATAAAACAAAAAATCTTCAACTCATGGGCGGACCTGTGGAGTAAAACAAAAACTAAGCTCCATGAAGTTCAGCCCAACTTATCTCGCGTCAATATCTCCTCTATGAACAGGAAAGAAAAATCAGTTATTCACCGACTACGAATAGGGCACACACGCCTCACTCATGAATAGGGCACACACGCCTCACTCATGGATACCTTATGGCATCAGAAAACCCTCCAGTATGCCACTACTGTAATAACGTCCTTTCCATCAAACACGTGATAGTGGACTGCTGCCAGTAT